ACTCAAAATGGTAAAATTGTTAGGGTTCTCCCATTTTTTGATGTTGAGCTGTGGCAGTAAACAGCTGTTGAGAGCGCTTGACATCCCCATCTCGAGATATTTGTCCGAAACGACTTCTCGCTATCCTAGCTCGAGCATTTACGAATTCCGTGAGGTCTGCAAGGTCCGGTTCTCTATCATCCATAGATATTTTGTCGGCAGCTTCAGCCCATTGGATCTGCGTAAAAAAACGAGAAAAAGCGCACTATTCACTCTAGGACACTCGGTGATTTTAGGTCGGACACGTAATTCATTTGTGTGAGCGTTATTTCACAACCATTCATTTTTATGCAAAAATCTGAAAGTGCCTTTGCGGTTTGGTTGACTTGGCGTGCCTGCTGAAGTCACCGTCCAGAAGAGCATTAGTCACTACATGTGGTTGGTCAAATAAACTGCTCAGTATTTCCCGTGCTCTTGAATAAGCCAACGGTGAGGGCAGTGTGACGCACTCCTCTATGGCCGCTCTCGCATCTTGGTCAATTGAGTCACGCATATAAGCCGAAACAGATTTCGGTGTATGTACGGTACTGCTGAGGGAATAAGGTAATAATAAAAAACATATACACCTCAACAATGGATGCCATAAACAAAGAATTCCTTTGCTTCTGTTCGAGAAAGTCGAATTCCCAGCTCAAGGACGGAAGAAGAAAACTAGTTAATTAAAAGAACGCCGATCATGCTCGAAAGAGAGTTACAAACAGGAGGAAGGGGAATATCAGCAGGGGTCAAATGTGGAAGCATTTGCGAAGAGGGCGTGGAGAATTCTAAACGATGAGCAGCTGGGTACACCATGAACTATACTATGTTATTTAAGTCAGCGCAAACATTGCGTGAATAGTGTCCTCCGGGGGCCTAAAAATAAAACTATTATTATTGCCGGATCTTGCATCGTCACATTAACTATCGGCATCTAAACTAAAATAATAATTTCTTATGAAGGACCCGTCGGGGTCCCATCAAAGCAAGTAAAAATACATTTACATAGGAATTTTAAACGAGGTAATCAAAATCTGTACAAAATCCAATTCATAGTTTCCGAATTTATAGTCCGCTAAGAAAAACGTTGAGCGACCGGTGAAAAAAACCACTTAAAAATTTAAAAACGATTGGATTACTTTTGCAGGAGAAAAATCCTAGCTAATAATAACATAAAGTGCGGGCACGACTGGCCTGCATGTGGCGGTATATAACGGATTATAATCGGACATCGTCAGGGCAGAAATAAATGTCAGCCTTGAGGGGTACGTAGGCGGGTAGGACAAAACAAGTCTGCATGTGCTATTGCATACGGGATTCAGAACGGACATCGTCAGGGTAGAATTGATACGCCGAATGAGACTATTAGCGACAAGGTGACCAGATGAGAGGAACCCATACGCGATCGACCACAGTCCGCAAGGAGCCCAGCCGAGGAGTGAGCAATGGAGGTACGACCAAACTACTAATAGGCGGCGAATACAGGGGGTTCCGTCGTGCGCATCGACGGACCGTCTGAGGTCTTAGTGCGGGAGATGACACCAAGAACCGCGAAAATCGTCGCTATGGGGGACGAGTGGTAGCAGTGGACTTAGTAACCAATTAAAAACAGGGGGTTGTGAAGATCTAAATAAAGGTTTCCACTTGATCTACAACCAAGTCACTAAATCTAACACTAAATCCCAGGAGGACCCTTCATGAAGTCAAGAGGCTGAGTGTTTGGGACTGAGACCGTTAAAAGTGCCTTTATACTTTCCGCTGTACGGCGTCTGCGTAATTTCGATTTGAATGCCCATAAGTGAGGCGATGAAATTATTTCTGGCGGGAATTTATTTCAAAGTAAGGCATATTTAGAAGCAAAAAAGAGGGTGCGTCCAGATGTAATGCAATGAGGCGGCGGAATCACCATGGAGAAGTTGCGCGTGGCATAAGAGCGATCTCTTAGAGTGAAAGTGTTAATGAGCGGAAGATTGGAGCTAGAGTTGATGCGAAAAAGGAAGCAAAGGCCAGCTCCGAGTCTTCTAACCCACAAACACTTAATGTTCACCAGCTGACATCTCTGAGTATAAGAAGTACCGGGTGCGACTTGAGAGAACAGTTTCCGGGTGAAAACCCTCTGAACATTTTCGATCTTATAGCGGTCACAGGCATTCATTAAACCAAAGAAAGGACAGCAGTATTCGAGGACTGGAAGAACAAACATTTGATAAAGTCTTAGCTCAATTCCGGAGGGAAAAAATTATGCGATATAAATCCACATATCTGCGCTGCTTTGACAGAGATTCTATCTGCGTGAGGTGATAAAGCAAGTTTATTTGTATAACTTAAACCTAGGTCCTTTATGGTGAAGTGGGTTTTTTTCAAAAATTATGGGGCCAGGAAGTTTGGTAGGACCAAAAGACAGGAAACTACACTTGGATGATGAAAACTCCATCTGCCATGTAGAACGCCATCTGCTTAAGCGTAGTAGATGGGCATTAATTTATATAGCAGGGCTTGGGTAGGTAACCGGTACACGGGACAGAGAATTGTTCAGGGATCTAATTGGAGCTGCGGGGTTTGTAGACGTGCTGGGCTGTAAAGGCTTGGTAGATCTAAGATAAGAGATGAAATTGTGTTACCTTTCTTTTAGGCCGGAGTTAGATTCAGTTTTGTGACCATGCAGTTCTGACGTGATGCCACAGGTGACCCAAATGTAGAACTTGCATAATCCCGCTGAAGTGGGGAGGCTATTGGTCTAGCTGATGTAGACGGATTTTTATGCCACCCAGGAGACTATCAGAAGGATTAGGTGCGAAAAACGGGACTGCTGCTGCTAATCTAGAGGTAGGCATATGCATCAAGTGTCCTGAGTGAGATGGAAATGTAGGAGTAAGGGTAAGGAGGGAGTCAGATTTTGCAGGAATAGCGTCAGTTGAATCCTCACGACCACTTGCATTTGGCCCGAGTTCGTGAAGATTTGAGTGAGAGGCAGTGGTTTTACTTGAGAAGAGGGATCCGATTCTACGCTCCATGGGAGTAAGATCATGACAAAGGAAAAATTTTGCATTTTCCAGGTACGCAGAGACACGCTGAGATTTATTGCTACCCTGTCGATGACCGACAACATTCCGTTATATACCACCACCTACAGGCCAGTCCTGCTCGCTTTTTTCTGTCATTATTTTTATTGAGGGTTTTCTTTTCTCCTGTAAAATTAATCCAATCATTTTTAACTTTTTTAAGGAGTTTTTTTTCACCCCTCAATTATAATGTTTCTCAATGGACTAATAATTCAGAAACTATGAATTGCATTTTGTAAAGATTCGGCCTACCTCGTCTAAAACTCGCATGTAGATTTATTTTAACTTGCTTTGATGGGACACCGACGGGTCTTTAATAAAAAAATTATCTATCTATCTAGATCAAGTTAAGGCATGCTTAGGTACATAGGCCGAGGGCTTTGGCCAACCTGTGACTTTTTCCTCATCTTGTCTCGAGGAAAGTTACAATTACGTAAACTTTTGAAGATCAGGTGACTGAATTATAGCGAGAGGCTAACGCTCTGAAAAAGTTCACACACTCAGAAAAAATCGAATGCACAAAACGAGAACTGCTGAATGCGACTGGTGGTCAACTTGAACAGATTAGCAGAACTAAAAAAGCAATGGCAACTGGTAATTCTGAGTGAATAGGCCTGAACTTAAGGAAGTTTTATCAAAAACAGGGGCTAAAATCTTTGTGTCTGTTTAAAAACACTTAAAAATAATACCTTCAACTTATATTCAAATTAAAAACCAGCGGCTCGACCTTGACCTCCTAAAACCATATGTTAATTTTTCGAAAGTGGTAAAAAGCGCAATGTCTGTACTGTACGCCATCAGGCATGCACATATGGATTTTGATAAAGCCATTTTCTCAAAGACTTTCGGAATATTCGTGCGGTCGCACTTGGAGTACGGCATACAATCCTGGAGACCTTGGGTGGATCACGATCAAAATAGTCTTAAAAGTGTTTAAATGAAAGCCACAAAAGCAGTTAGTGTTCAGAGCCCTTTTCTATATGGTAGACCCTCTAATAAATCTAAACCTTCTTCCAATGGCTTACAAGCAACTGTTTGGGGACTTTTTACAAACATTCGAATTGTGAAGGGATTAGACTTCAGCCTGGCCCTTGAGGGCTTTTTGAATTTGCGACTACGAAAAACTTCCGGGGAAACAAATTAAAGCGCACTTTCAGCAGGCAAGACGGTTTGCTTGGAAGTTCTCCTCCTCTGTTAGAGTGGTCAAACCAAGGAATGTATCACCAGCATATGTTGTGGTGATAGCAAATGTGGTGAGAGATCGAGCTCACCTCTTGAGATTAACGCCCAGTTTGTCATACTTTTATGGGTCCGTTTGAACTTTTTCAGCCCTTATGATTTCACTGTACACTGCATCCACTTTTACGTTGCAAAATGGTACACTAAGGCTCACGTCTAGTTGCCTCAACAAATTGAACTAAACTGAAATCATCGACATTCAGAATAAAATGTTGAAAAAGTGGGGTATAGTTATTATTCTCCGCTCGTTTCAAAGCATCCGGCTACTAGACTTCGAAAGGTTCCTCCTGCAATTCTAGCGTGGGTCTTACATGCTATACATGTGAAGCAGAAAATCCTAACTTTATCTGGCGACACTCCATATTGTTAGCTAATCGTTAAAGCCACTGGTATTGCCCCTCTGCAGCGCTAGTCTTCGGGTGATGTTTTCACCCTAAGCGAAACGTTGACACGCATTCCCTTACCCACCTATTGTTCTCTGAGCACTCTAATCTTAAACTTGGGCTTTCCACCCCTGTTAAATTTAGTAAAACGGCATAAGTTCAACAAGGAGCCTTTGAACCAGGTAGCTTTTAAGTGTTTGGACTGAAAAATTGGTCAAATCCTTGCACTGCCATCCGACAAACTCATAGATATGTTTTACTAAGTTGAAATTCACACGACAAACCGAATAGGCTTAAGGGTATGTCGAGAAGTTATGAGAACGCGAACTACCAATCAACTTTTCTCCACAAGGAAGAGAAAGATGTTGGACCTTTTTAGATTTTTGACAAAGTCCTTCGTCCCCTTTAGATCGTGGCCGATCTTCAACTTTTCCTTAGGCCAGCTTTGAAAAAATTGTTGACTTATCTCGAAGGTCATTTGGAGGATTACCGCTCATCTTGCAGAGACCTTTCCATTTATACCGGCCTCTCAGGTAAGTCATATTTACCAAAAAAATAAATGGTGCATTTGGTGCCATTTTTAGGCTTTTTTACTGAGTCAAGTGTCGTTAACCACGCTCTTATTTTTTATTGGAGAAGTTTCGGCTCGGCTCTGCCAGTTTTATTGAGGAAACCGTAGGCGTAAGTCTTTGAGCATAGCAGTTGTGGTGTTGAACACGGTACTGTGTACATAATGGCCGGGTGAAGTTAACTTTGGTCTCATGTCGTCCAGACTTATCTTGAAACAGACATCGGCCGACATCCTCAGTAAAAATTTTCAACGATGGTGACAACATCTGCGGAGATAACAGTCCATGGTTTGACCACGGTGGTAGAGGTAGACGTTTCTCGTATCCAGCCGTGCTCGTTAAACGCGAGATGTTTGTAAAAGATCTCCATGCATTTGCATATAAGTAAAAGGTAGGAGCTTTCAACTTAATAGGCGCGTCCCAAAAGGCAAATGCTTTTCTAAATATTTTGAGATTCGACTGGCGGGCCTATTTTCTATGTATCTTAGTTTGGAGAGATGTTTCTATCGAGGACCGCAACATTTTCGTGGTCTATCTAAAGGATTGAATACGGGTTGTTGTGTAATTCACTACGTAAACATTTCTAGTGCTCTTGCTACGGCTGACCCTTTCCCATTAGTGAGAGAAGTAACCCATACTACAACCTTAGGCCTCAGTCCGAGCCGCCAAGTTGTGGTATTTTGCCGCTTCTCACACTCGATATGTGAAGTTTATGTTTATTTCAATTAAATTTTGCTGTAGTCTTCGAAAAACCACTTTACGATTCATATTTTGTATTATTTCTCACCATAAATTTTATACAGGTATGTCAGATAGTGTCTCAATACCGGTTGATCGGTTAAACTAAGCATTTTAATCTTAAAAAATAATGTAAATTAGTTAGTTTTATATGAGTTTCTTGAGTAACTGCAGGTTTTTTTCATCGTGGCGTTTGGATTCGTTCTGCTAGTCTGCACAACTACACACATGCTTGAGACCAGGCTTGAATCACCACTTTTTGGTAGCAATCCTTCGTAGATGTAAGGGCAACTATTTACTTCATTCCTCATCGAAAGTTCTACGCTCACCTCTGATGTCTTTTCAAGGAATCCTCCTTCTTGGTTTGCGTCTGAAACAATCGCCAGATCTCGTCAGTGCATTGCAGTTGGAGGATTTTGTCACTCGCGCTCAGTCTCTTGTTGTAGAGACGGTGCATAACCGCGAGAAATCCAAACTTTCCAAAAATGTTAGCGTTCTCACAAGCGACTATGTGGGGCCCTGCCTCGTTGGAGCCCTGTTTCATCGCGAACAAATTGCTGAGCCTGCGATAAAGAAGGCCTGCTCCGCCTGCTTTGACAAGATTGTAAAATGTGAGCGGTATGCCACCGCGCCATCCTCCTCAGACATGCCGAACGAACTTCTCTATGGTCGGGCCGGCTACCTCGCTTGCTTGCTGCTACTTCTAGATGCTGGCTACGATGTGCCTGTAAATTGTATTAGTACTGTAAGTGACTTTTTCAGTCCAACCCATTCCTCTTTTATGTATATCGCGTTTGCGTCATGGTTCTCCAGCAAGTAATTTTTTCCAAGGTGTGTCATGAAGATGGTGGTGTACCCCCTTCGATTTTGTGCGTTGACATGCCTTCACACATGCAGCTAGAGTGAATAAAGTTCCAAACGGTTATCCCATGTTACTCAGTTGTCCCGATAGCTGACTCGGTAAGGAAGAACCTGGTCTCATTTCATGCGGTCATATGTGGGTTGTTTGCCGTGCTCCAGATATGGAGGCATAACCTCGAGAAGACCTTTAATCCGAGACAATGTCAGATAGGATGTCATTTAGAAATTGTTGGAGGGTTCAACTGAAGAGGACAACCAAAAGAATGAAGGACAGCTGCCTCGGCTGCTTGAAATTCAGTTACTGAGTTAGATGCTGGCCGAGGTTAGACTGGGGGACACTGGTTATTTTGATTCGATCCTTCCTTCAGGTGTCTTAAGTTGAGACACCTGATGCTGGAATCTTCATCACTTTCTCCATTGACGACAGAAATCACTAAGCCTTTGGCGTGGACACGGATAAGGGATCGAGTTTTTTTGCCCTTCTACTTTCTATTCTGGCAGAGGTTGCTGTTTTTTTACTATTGGTACTTGGCTTGTTCCATTGTCTACTTCGGCGACTTAACACATTCGGATAGTAGTTAAGGCAACTGTACCCCAAAGATATTTTTCTGGACTTCAGACTATACCTAAACTACAAGCGGATGCTATAAATTCCCGCCTGTTTTGGGTGCTGTCATATTTAATGTGTGGTCCGAAACACCCTTCATGTTATCCTCCTGTCATATTCCATGACGGCCTGTTGGAGCTCACTGCCGGAACGTAAATCGTACCACGAAATTGTTGCCACCGACTTCTGATTATTTCAGACTGCACGTCTAATCACGTTCAACTCCCAGAGTTCCTTCATCCCAACGAATTGGGTACACTTTTTCTACCGTAGGTTGTTGAACAGATATTGTCCGAGGGACGTCGTTTGAGCAAGGAGATGCAGTCCAATGGGACCTATCAGGACCTCATCAAACCGTGGGCCCTGAGATGCCCACCGTTGATGTTTCAGTGGCATGGCAAGGCGTATCTGGGTGCTGCTCACGGCTTTGCTGGCATCTTGATGACCTTGCTGAAGGTGAGTGACAAATAGCGTCATAAACAGGACAAACTATAATCCCCCTCAAATTTCAATGTTCTGCACAAAAATACATTTAACCCTTTGGTTCTCGACGTATAGACGGTCAACAGGCACTTGACAATAATATCATTGGCGGTGTTTTTGCATGGAAAGTCAGAAAAAAGGTTCCTAACACAAACTGTCTGTAGAAATGGCTTTTTATAAGTAATTGAGCACTTTGCGACTACAGGAAAGAGCTCTTATTTGAAGATGTTTGACTTCGATAAAATGTCTTCTCCAAAGCATATTAAGATGACTGCAAACACCCTAAAGTTTGGAAGTTGCCATTTTGTCTTGACGGGCGAGGGGAGCGATTAATAAAGCCTGATGGACAGAAAGATCGGACATATTTCAACGACCGACGGACGTCTGCTTCATTGACCTTGCCGCCGTTTTTGATTCCGCTCTTCGTGAGTTCCTGTGGCGGATAATGGCGCTAGATGGTGTACCGACAAAAATAACCGCCATGACCAAGGCGTATTATCGCTCCATAACTGCGAGTGTCCTGGTCCGCAACAATCTTTCCCAACCATTAGGTATTCGGTCTGGCGTTCGAAAGGGTTGTATCCTGTCGCCCATTCTGTTCAATGATGCTATTAACTCCCTCTCCATCGCCACTAAGATTCGCGTGTACCGTGTATCTGTCCGGTCTGTCCTTCTCGACGGTTGTGAATGCCGGGCTTTGCTCGTGGAGGACAAGCGAGAACTGGATGTATTTGACCACCACTGCCTGAGGACCATCCTTCAAGTGAAGTTCACCGACTTCGTCTCAAATGAGACAGTCCGCGCTGGCTGCGCCAACATCGGAAGGATAACTCAGGCCATCCAAGAAAGACGACTGAGGTAGTTCGGGCATGTTCTTCGTCGTCCACCTCAGGAGCTCAGTGTTACTGCCCTCGATCCGGCACCGTTGCCCAATTGGAGGCGTCAAAGAGGGAGTCAGTTCAAAACCTGGCTCGACACATTTCGTCAAGACGTGGAGGTGGTTCTTGGACCTTCGGTATTCGGTCTCCGTCGTTGGCGAGGGGAATGGGTTGAGCTGTCCAGATCTGCTGCCGCGGATCGTCACGCGTGGAGAGGTGCAGTTCGTGATATCATCGAGGCCGGCTAGATCAGGCATGATCGCAGCCCTATCAAGTACAAGTAATACGAGATGGACAGAAATTCAACGCGGAATATATATTGGAAATCAGTCGAAGGGATTTCTCAACGCCGCGCGTGTGACAAAAAACCTGTCAGTTTAGCCGCGTCGTTTGAATACTCTGCTCTTACATCCCAGGTAAGTACGGTCACTTGGTTTTCAGGTGGCGGTGTTATTAAAGAGACGTCGACCACTTCCGCGACCCTGCCACCCCTGACTGTCTCCTGTCCTTCTGTTTCATCGCGCTTATGCAGCGGCGGACGCCTCTGCAGCGTCCTTAGCGATCGTTGCGTCAGGAAATTTATCTCGGGCACACCCACAGCCAACTCCGAGGTCTCGGCCGCGCGGCGATTGCCGAAGGCCGCGTCTCTGAATACAGAGCCAAGCTCATTTTTCGCCACACTGTGGCCACGTGGAACTGCTCAAAGCAATTCTGGCGGTAATAGAAACTTTCCAAACTATCAGAATTTAGAAATAACCGACGCGGAGCGGAATTTGGTCGGTATTTTAGCACTCAAGTCCCTTGTTATGAACTTGAAGGGGATGAGACGATGTGGCTATCTTTATTACTGCTGAATTAATAGGGAGCGATCGATGATGCGAAAGAAACGAAAACAAATTAGCGCTGAAAAAAAAGAAAGATACGCATTTAAGTTTTGTCATTCGCAGTCACGAGCCTGCTAATCAATCTTCCAGTGCGTAAACAGTTGCGCGAGCCAAGAGAAAAAAACAGCCCGAGAGATAATTGAGAATAGATCCAGATTCAAACTGGTCCTGAAAAAAATCCTCTGTTAATTACCTCGGCAACCAGGACCGACCGTCTAGAGGGCAGCACGTGATTCCGCGGTCGCACAGTACGTGTGCTGACTCCTGGGATGTTTCTTTGTCTACAAAACATCCTCACCCACTTTGAGACTGGCTCAAATATCTCGACCAAAACTGCCAATAAATAATGAACGACTCTAAGGTCCTCTAAAGAGTAGCGGAAATGGGGAAAACGCGAAAAATCATGCCACAATTAAACTCAAGTTTAAGAAGTACAGCAAACCTCTCCATGTGCTATCTCATGAAATGTTCACCGAATTTCTAAAATGCTTGCTTAATTCGAAGAGCTTGCTTAGGTAGGGTTTTCATGTTAATTTTCATGTCGCATAATACCAACGCATTCCGGTCACTTCAGGATGCCAACTTTCGAACGAGCTCTTTGCCGCCCGTTTGCGTAAATTAAATTCCACAAAAATGACTACTTGAGTAGCGTGAATTTTTCCCATTGATTTTCGACGCCCTTATGAATAAAGGCATATTTTATAGAAAAAATGCGAAAATTCCCTCCTTTACTCATTTCGTGGGAACTTTCGTCTTTTTCAAATTTTACACTTCGAGAAAGAGCGTCTTTCGATTTCAAAAAGTTTCTGATTGTGAGATTTTTCAAGTCTGCCAAATGGTCACTAGTACAGCGTCGCACCAGCGTATTTATTACGGCTACTTATAAAGTGGATAGTATGGTCGTCCACATCCATTACGAAATTAACTGAGTCCTATTTGTCCTCTTCATGATAGCATATATAAATAAGTGATTTTCCTTGTCTCCACAGTATGTGGTTTGTAGTTCAGAAACCCCGAATGCAAATTTAAAGGGAGGTCGGGTTAAAAACGTATTCGGGGATTGACAAAATTTTTCAAAACCGAGAGATACTCTTTCTTAAAGTAAAAGATTTGAAGAAGACTTAATTTGCTACCCAGTGAGTAAAAGATGGAATAGTTTGTGCATGTTTTCTGTAAAATGTATATGAACTTATGAGGGTGTCGAAAATCAATGAAAATAACTGATGCTACTTAAACAGCAATTTTTTCGGAATACGGTTTATGCCAGTGGTCGCCAAAAAGCCAATTCGAAAGCCGAAATCTTGGCGTGACTGGAATATCTTAGCATTATGCAACACGACAGTCAATGTGACAACTGTACTTGAGGAACCTTTTTGAATTGAAAAAAAACAATTCAAAATTGTAGGCAACATTTAATAAGGTAACATATCTCCTGTAAGTAGCGCGCTTAGAGATAGTCCTTTAGTACAGTTTACACGCAAATATCCCCGTATCTGTCACTGTCCCTGATGATGGGTCCGAACGTGAATTCGAAACGTTAGGCGGATAAAGCTCTGGGTCCAGCGACCGCTTCTACTTCTTAAAAAATAATGTTATGCCAAGGATGGCCGTTAGCAAGCAGCGTACTGCCTGACTATAGATTCAGAGACGATTTCTCAAGAAATTCACTTTAATTTCCCCTCTTTTTGCATTGTTTGAGACGCGACCAGCTAAGGCACTTCAGTCAACATTTAATGAAACAGCATATCTACTGTAGGTAGCACGGATAAAGATAGCTCTTTAGTAAAATTTACACACATATGTAGTGTCAAGAGTGGCCGCTACTAAACAGCGTACTGTTTAAGTATAGATTCGAAAACGACTTCTCCAGAATACTGCCTTAATGTTACCTCTTTTTGTCGTGTTTGAGATGCGACTGACTAAGTTAAAAAAGATTTCGTCCGTTTTCATCGATAGGGACGTCACAAGAATAAACGTTTTCAGATCAGCCAATGACTGAGAGATTTAAATGGAATTAGCGGATGCAATCATAAACATACCGTTTTGAGTGTCTCGAGAGAGGAAGTGTCTTCCGTAAAATTACTGTGTGCTTGTTAATGACGGTGGAGTACCATGAGTCGGGGTGCGGTGGCAGACCCGGTCGCGCACATTGGGATCTCTGCAGCCCTCCCCATTGTTGTTGTTGGTTAAAAATCTGGTCATTTGTTGTGTGGACCAGAGAGTGTGGAGTGGAACGCCAAGGTGCGGACCCGACCGTGCCATCCACCTGCGCCCTCCCCCGTCTTGACATCGAGTCCAGATGGGGGACGAGGAGAGAGTACGGTAGATGCTGTGCAAGTCTACTATCACTATAGACTAATTCATGCGCAAGTTACCGTCCCTGCACACGGTGGACATCGTCGGCAACGACGGTCGAACTGCCGGAGTTCAATGAGGTTAAGAGCGTTCATAAGATGTTAGCGAGTACTTTGCAGTTTTCAGGGTTCCCAGTGGACTACTCCTAAAGTTTGTCCAAACTCCTAAAATAAAATTACTCTTCTTTCGTAAAAAATCACGCATGGGTGCGCAAATGTTGTCTAGGACAGCTAATAAAGTAGGGAATTGCCCGAGCATGAGCCAATGCAGATTTCCACTTACATTTTTAGACATTTTGCCTTATAAAATTGCTCAGTAATATTCTAAACAAAAAGAACATTTTCAGAGAAGAGTTAGGCGACTACGTAAGGTGAAGCACGTTGGAGGTGTCGAGAAATTATCGTCTAGATCCCCCATCATCGCGTTTTTTGCATTAGGCCACATACTGTGTTTGCATCCACCGTCGTTTGTTGCCCTCAGGGGACTCTCAGAGCGTCAAATATCTGCACCATCCTCCACCAGGGTTCTCCTGAATTTACCATTTCCACATTTATCCAGAGAAGCCCTCAGAATCCACTAACACTTGGAAAATGAAAAAAAGTCCACGAAAAAGGCGTATTTAGGTGGCGGTGGAATGGGTTGTTTCATCCTGATTTCAGGACGCAATGCCTGGAGACCCCGCAGGCCCGTAGATGTGATGACTCATAAAATGTCATGAGGTATCACAAGAAAGTCTCTTTAGCGCAAAATCAGCCCAGACCGTGCTCTCCAAAGTCATACCACAGTAAAAAAACGACCGTTCTTAAGCAGAAGGCATAGTTTTGTTCATAAGTGAATGTTCACCAGCAAAATATTTTTCCACCGTAAACAAGAATTTCAGAGAATGGCTATATTGCAAGTCGCTTAAATAGGACTAAATATAAGGGTGCATAGGAAAGAGGGACTCATAAAAAAGGGAAAATAATGATAGAAAATAACCAATAAACAAGATCGGTATATTGTTGATTGTCTATCTGCATTTAACGCCGCAGACAGTCTCTCAGATATAGAACTGGCGAGGTTGTCTATAGTGGATTGTTTACTGTGGTTATCTAGCAAAAATCAGACTTTTCTTGCATTGAAAGTTTCTTGTTTGCCTTGTGCCAATGTCTTTTGATAAGGGTGAAGAGAAAAGTGACAGCATGTCGTAGGTACCCAATATAAATTCGTTTTTGTTTAGCAATTCTCGGTGTGATAAAACAAACGACTGCCGAACAAGTTTATTACTGAGTTTATGCACTAAACGCCGCAACTTTACAAAACAGAATTTTATGAGCTTAATTCACCCTTTTTCTCAAAACGATGCATTTCCTCATATCCGCTCTCACCTGATTCTCTTGGAATAAAAGTCCAAATTTCCAATTTTTAAACTTTTCTTTTTTATATTCATGTTCGTTGATAGCACAATGCGCATAAACTTGAGACTTTGGCTTTTACATTTTAGTAGCCTAGGAAATTACCTGAGTATCATGAAGGGTCATATTTCGCTCAAATCTGGCCTGTTGTCCCTTAATAAAACAGAGTTGAAATTAATCCCTCTTCAGTAAGTTTCTTCCTGCGTCTCAAGTAAGTTCAACGAAGACAAGAAAGAACACTCAATGTATGGCATACTACTCATTCGAATTTCGGTCACGGTATTTCATGAGTTAGGCCACCCACCACAGGTATTGCCGACAAAGGCAGAATGATATTACCGACAAAGACAAGGGAAACTGCCTATACGGCTGCTAGTTGGGCTAGAGAGAGAGAGTCCATAAGGCACAACGGAACGAGTGAGTCCCGTAAGAACGATCGGTGAGCGCCCCCTACCATTGTATATTCCCGATCGAAAACCGACAGGGCAGCGGGGCTCGTGGCTCCGTGGTTAGAAGCGCGAGTTCGAGCCTCGGGTGTTCCACACTTCGGGGTTGGGTATGACTGGCTGACGACGTCTAATAAGCCAGAAATGGCCATTCCAGTCTCCCTTGTCTTTGTCAGTAATAACATTCTGCCTATATCATGCGCCGCTGTACGGCTGCTGGTGGGGTTTGAGAGAGAGAGTCCATAAGGCACAACGGAACGAGTGAGTTCCGTAAGAACGATCGGTGAGCGCCCCCTGCCATTTCCGACATGGTCGGTAGACCACCAGTCGAGGTAACAGGCAGAGGATCTTCCCAGCCTGACCTTATGGCATGACTGGCTAGCAGATATTACAGTTTTGTCTCTTCTTATCTGCGCTATTCTTCGATTGTTAGTTGCCCACCGTCGCGCGAACACCCCGCGAGGGCCCTATACCTCCGCTCATGGGGATTTAGAATGCTCACGCTGCTTCTCGCAACGCGATGGTCGCCTGTCTCATTCTCACACGTAAACTTGAGTATTTCAAACCGCGGCTGACGGGCCCTGATCCCATGGCTCAGTCCAACATGCAGCCGGAACCTAGTTTAAATCTGCGTCCGACTAACGATGGCTACTGTAGTAGATGTGCTAACGCATGACATGTTAACCGGAATTCTGAAATGCGTTTTCAACTCGAAAAGATTACTTAAGTAGGGTTGTGATATACATCATCTTGCAGCATAATCGCAAGATATTTCAGTTACTTCAGAATGTAGGCTCTTGAACGAACTTCTCTTCGGCCGCCTGCGAAGGCTACGCTCTGTAAAAAATGGCTACTTTAGTGGCATACATTTTTCTAATTGATTTTCGACGGCCTTATAAATTAAAATATATTTCATCGAAGACATGCACAAAATACCCATTCTCCTGTCATTTCGTAGAAAATCACGCCTTCTTCAAAATATATGCTTAAAGGAAGGGTACGATTGAGTTTTAAAAGTTTCTGATCATGAGATTTTTCAAGAAGATGGAGTTCCCGTTCATAAAACATCGTGTCTCAGCATTTACTAATGTTTCTGGTAGTTTACTACATGCTTCAAACCCACTGCTAAATTTTATAAACGCCATATAGTTTTCTCTTAATACTGCATATAAATGTGTGACTTTCCGTGCACGGAAAATATACAAATCGTATTTTGAACACCCTGAATTCAAGTGTAACGGCAGGTCGGATTCGAAATTATTCGGGAATCGGAAACGTTTTTAAAACCGAATACTACCCTACTGTAAGTCGAAAATGGCAATCCCAGTCTCCCTTGTCATTTTTGTGAAACCGTTCCTGCCGACGGTCGATCGAGGTCCTTTAGAACGTTTTAAATCCTAGAGCTCAGTCAGTTCTGTTTTTGTGGTGGTAAGCGGTCGGTCGGTCGTCGGAGATTTTGTAGTCACAGCGAAGTCAGGTCTTCCTGAACAATTTACAACCAGACTGTTCGCGGTTATGCGAAATTGCCGGTCGAAAAAGGCCGGTTACAACAGGCATTAGCTCTTAACGCCTCCTCTAGCAGCAGGAATTGGAACTCACCACCTCCGCCGTTGCCGCTGTCGTTGTCGTCGCAGTTGACAAACCCTGGAACTGCTCCTTGCTGCTTCAAAAATCGTTTAGGGACAGCCGAGAGCGTAGTCAGACGTCTGAGACAAGAGTACAGTAGATGTGCTAACTCATGAAATGTCAACCAAAATTTCGAAATGCGTTCTCGTTTCGAAAAGATAAATTAAGTAATGTTGTAAAACCAATCATGATGCAGCATAAATATATAATGATCCAGTTACCTCAGGGTGTCGGCTTTCGAAAGAACTTTTTTTCGGCTGCATGCAAGATCTATACTCTGCAAAAATGACTACTTACTTAGTATGCAATTTTCTCATTGATTTTCGATGACATTGAAAATTCAATCATATTTCATGGAAAACATGCATAAAAATATACATTCTTCTACTTATTCGGTAGAAAATCACGTCTTCTTCCGATGTTATACTCAAATGAAGAGTATAATTCGGTTTTAAAAAAGTTTCTAATTGTGAGATTTTTTTAATACCGTTAAATGGCCGTTCATGAAACGTCATGTATCTGCATTTACGAATGTGGCTTGTAAAGCTTACAATATTGCTTAAATCCACTGCTTAATTTTATGAACCTCATATGGTCTCCTCTTAACACCGTAGAGAAATGAATGGTTTTCTATACACGGAAAATAAACAGCTTGTAGTTTCGAAACCCTGAATGCAATTGTAACAGCAGGTCGGGTTCAAAATTATTCGGGAATTAGAAAAGTTTTTTTAAAACTGAATTATACTCTTCTTTTGAGTCTGAAATTGGAAGAAGACGTGATTTTCTACCGAATAAGTAGAAGAATGTATATTTTTATGCATTTTTTCCATGAAATATAATTGAATTTTCAAGGGCATCGAAAATCAATGAGAAAATTGCATACTAAGTAAGTAGTCATTTTTGCAGAGTATAGATCTTGCATGCAGCCGAAAAAAAGTTCATTCGAAAGCCGACACCCTGAGGTAACTGGATCATTATAGATTTATGCCGCATCATGATTAGTTTTACAACATCACTTAATCTATCTTTTCGAAACGAGAACGCATTTCGAAATTTTGGTTGACATTTCATGAGTTAGCACATCTACTGTAGATCATCCAGCTGACTCTGTTAGCGGTCGCCTCCCGCTTCTCCGAATTTTCCAATTCACTGCATATCTGGCTGCCCCGAGCGAGAAGCCGGTTGGGGTTATTCGTTTACCGCACAACACACTGCCGTTGAGGTTCCGACAGCAGCCCGACGTCTCCAACAAGACGAGGTCACGGTTAGACCTGACCACCTGCCGGCGTTTGTGCCACCTCCCCCGATGTCATTTTAAGTAACCCTTAAGTGCTTTTCACTGGCCCGCTGACGCAAACATTGGTCTCTCGGTTATTCGCGACTTTCAGCGCGAAGCTGGTTTTTCCATCCTTTAGATGGGGCCGACGTGGCCACTTCCGCCAGCCAATCATGTGAGAACTTAAGAAGTATCACGGGTTGGTAGACAAATTACAAAACATGTCGAACTCTTGGCATATATGTTCTTGAACGTCAGCGGTACAGTCTTCTTTGACATCTTCATCTTCTTCCTCACCTCTGTCCACCTCCCTAACCCCATACATTGCCGCCGCCTTTCTATGCTTGTCGGCTTATTTTTCAGATTCACCAGCAAATGCCACAGGCCCTACCAGACGCAGCCCTAGATGACTTAGTCATTCCCACAGTCACCTGGCTATCAGAGCTACACTTTGACGGTGAAGAACATTACAATTGGCCTTCTAGCCTGGGCAACAGCAATGATCGGCTCGTTCAGTGGTGCCATGGGGCACCAGGCATCATACCGCTGCTGCTTCTGGCTCACAAGGTAAGTATCTGATGCGTGGACTGCAAAGTAATATGTAATTCGAAGGTGTTGGACTGCGAGGTAAGCAAGAAGAGGAGTTTCCTCTTAAACGCCCACTTTCAGCTGCCCTGAGCGACTTCTGCACCGAGGGTAGATTATTTCTGCACGGATAGCGAATGTGGCTCTACCCATACTTTATTCCAAGAAAATACCTACTTATTTAATTTACGTAGGCATGTTATGGGAGGGCTACGGTTGTGCTTAGGCCTACGAATAGGATTAAGGTTAGGTTTAGGATTAGAGTTGCGGTTAGGGTTAAGTTTGCGTGCCGCATACCGTCTTACCGAATCCGCGCTTCTCAAATCAGTGGCCTTGGCTTACCTATTTTCTGTGCGTTTACGCACTCTTAATTAGCATTTTAAAATTGCGCCTCCTCTTCCGACACCTTGTTGGAGTAGTGAGATGAGCATATGCCAGAAATGTTCGTTTTTTCAACGCCTTCCACAGCTTCCTTTTATTACCGCAGCACAGCTCTATAACCCCCTTTTGTGACCCTGTCTGAACCCCATTTGGATCCAACACATCTCTAAAGCAACGCCGCGGTAATTATAACTCGGTGGTGATGGGAAGCGTAGTTAAACTGCTACAAAAGATGACCACCTCTTAAATCTTTACATCCCATATGTTTGTATTGCTCGTGAATTTGCTCATTTTGGTATGAGCGTAGATGACGTTACAATTGCTTTAGACACCATTACAGCCGTTATACACCCCATTTGTTAGCCTTTTTGCATTTACACCAAAAGCACTACTTGAAGGTAACCGATGATTCACGCACCAAGCGGCACACTGAGTTAGATGCCGTGTATAAAAGCTTCAGAGGAAAGTAGAAGAGATGGGCATCAATCAATACAGAATGACGAACATGGAGACCGTTTACTGAGCGTAAACACCGTTGAATGTCGATTTTTGTGCACATTTTAAAATGTCTGGCGACAAGACAGCTGAAAAAACATCAGATGCGGGTAGCACACCGCCCCCAATTACCTATAAATTGAATATTAGGTACAGGAAGCTATCAGAGGATACAGAGGGGATCTTCCTGTCTTTGGTTGAAACTCTGTCTTCTGGGCCAAATGCTCATCCGACGCCGTCCAACTGGCTAGCTGATAAGTAGGTCTGAAGGCTTCGAGACGTGTTCGGGATCCCCAATGAATACTGACCATGAAACTACCGTGAATGCGGCAGATAGTAGGCCCACGTTTACCTTTATAGTCATCGCTGTCCCTTGCTGTGGTCTTGCGACCGATAGAGTCAGTATTTGGGCGCCTTGTTTCGTCAAAAGATCTGGATTCTGCACTGACAGTGACGTAAGTCGATACACCCTTTGTCACCTAAAACCATAGCATTAGTTTATGAAAAACAACCAGTTAACTGTGTTCCTGGACATGTCTAGCTATATTTCGTGGTTGGTCTTGTTCTAAGCAGTGAACATTGAGTTCAAACTGGAGGTATGTGCCAACGGAAATGATGACTTTCATCCGAATCTTGCAGATAACCTCAGACGCATCTTATCTGGAAAAGGCAGAGAAGGGTGGCAGGGAGGTTTGGAAGCGCGGCCTCCTCAAGAAAGGCTGTGGCCTCTGTCATGGCTCTGCTGGCAACGGGTACGCCCTCCTTAGTCTCTATCAGCACACTCATAAGTCGGAGTACCTTCAACAGGCTGCTGTGGTATGTGCCGTTCCCTTTTCTCCCTGTCCTTCAATTTCCAATGCAAATCTGCGGTTTTTGTAAGTTAATATGAACTATCTACTTATAATTTACGAGTAGCAGATAAATCCAAATCGTATTGTAGCTGCTGGTCGTGCGCAAATCCTAGTTCTTGTTCTTCCATTTCCTGCATACATGCGGCATTATCTGACTGAACGTTGTCTGCTTTAGTTTGCCGAATGGTGTACAGATTACTTCAACAATGCTGAACGGACCCCGGATCGTCCTCTTTCTCTGTTTGAAGGTACTCTTTTTAGAGTTGCAACTTCCTGCATCACGAATTTCCTTTAAGAACTCAAACCTCTTATGAACAAGTTTTTATGTCTACTGATCAAAACTTACTCAAATAACCCTCCAAATACCTACAGCCTCGTCGAAATAACTTAAATCATTCACCAAAACAGACACAAAGCATCCTTCGCTTTGAGCCAGTTGTTTATGTCAAACTCGGGGTTTTTGAAGGGACTATAATTTCCGTGTCAAGCGTATGAGTATGGAGGTAATCTTTCCATACTGTATCCTGTCAAGGTGTTATCTGCTTCTGGCAAACTCTCTTTTTAATCTAAGTTAACGTTAAAGCACAGGAATAATGACACCTAAGACATTTTTGCGAAATCAGGCTGTGACGAAATCGAGGGAACTCTACACCTCCGTTTTTTAATGTTTTAATGACACTTTTTATTTCATTTTCTCCATTTGTCTTCCACAGGGATTTCCGGCGCGATCTGGTTTCTCCTGGACATGCTGGAACCAGTCTCTGGCAAATTTCCAATCCTGCATTAAAATTGCGTCATTTGTTTTTGTGCGCAGTCTATCATCTGGAGACTCAGAATCATTTCCATCTTCGATACCTTCCGCCCTCCTTTCAAACCTCATCAGGAAGTATCTTGACGCTTGTCTCTTTTATGATATTTGGACCAGAGCCTCAAGAGTTTCTCTGTACCTGCTGTCTGTTTCGTTTATTTTTAAAGACCTTTGTCTATTTGTTTACATAACAATGTTCACGCTCTTCCCAACGGGACTTAAAATAGTTAAAAAAATTTCCGTGGAAAGAAGTGACTAAGAGACAACAGGTAGAATCGAAATGCGCCATCACTCAAACAAGTAGACCCATATACAGTAGGTATGCTATCTCATTAAGTCTTGACCGAGATTCTTCAATAGGCCTTTAATTCGAAGGGATTGCCTGAGTGGCGTCTTTGTACAAATTTTCGCGTAGTGTAATCCGAAAAAATTTAAGTTACGCCAAGATGAGGTTTTTAGATGAACTTTTCCCCGGCCGTCTACGAAAACCACGTTCTGTAAAAATCGCGTTTAAGTGGTATGGGATTCTCCAATGTGTTTTTGACACCCTTATATCTCTCAGAAGAAAATGCATGGAAATATTCTTTTCACTCATTTGGTAGCAAATTACGTCATCTCCAGATTTTACACTCTTAGATAGAGTACCGTTTGGTTTAAAAACGTTTCCAACTCCCGAATAATCATAAACCCGATACGTCGTCATAGTTGCATTCGGGATTTTTAAACTATATTCTATATACCTTCCGTGTAAGGGGAATCGTACATTTCTACGCGCTCGTAAGATTCGGTAATGGGCGCAGACCATGTTCTCCCCCTTTACAAGCAGCAATAAGAAACGTGTTGGCGTAGTACTGCACGAGTGGCTATTTTGCGGTCTAAAAATCTATTAATTAGAAATTTTAAAAACAAAAATATCCTTTCTTCAAAGGCAAAATTTGAAGAAGACGCAATTCCCTACCAAATGAGTACAGAGAAGAATGCTTTCATAATGTTTTCTATAAAATATGTTAAAATTTATAAAAGCATTGAGAACAGATGTGAAAAATTCGTGCTGCTTAAGTAGTCATCTTTGCGGGGTTTAGTCTTCCCAGGCGGTGGAAAAGGAGGTCGTTCAAAAGTCGTTATCTTGAAGTGCCCGATATCAATATTGCAACCCTACTTAAGTAGTCTTTTCGAATCAAGAATGCATTTCAGAATCCCGGCTAGCATTTCGTGAGATAACGCATCTACTGTAATTACTGTTTAACTTGCTTGTTTCCCAGAGTGCTTGCGTCTGTACGCGTACGGCTCCACTGACATCTAGACGGTCGCTGGAAAGACGGATTCGGTCCTGAGAGACGCGGCTTACATGCAGTACGTGCAATTGAACACAGCGCCATCGTTACCGGCACGCAGGATTCGTCGCCTAATTATGGAATTCGGTCAAGACCTACAATGAGTGACAGATCTCACGAAATTTTGGCGGAAATTCTGAAATGCGGATTTGACTAGGGAGGATTACTTAAGCGCAGTTATAATACTAATTGTATTGCAGCATATTGCTATGATATTTCAGACTCAGCAGGATGTCGGCATTTGAATGCATTGCTTTTTAACCTTCTGTAAAAACTGTACTCGGTAAAAATGACTGTTTAAGTAGCATGCATTTTTCAGTTTGATTTTCGGTAGTCTTAAAAATTCAATTATATTTTATAAAAACTACAAACAAATATGGCTTTTTCAGTCGTTTAATAGGGACTCAGGTCATATTTATATTTTGTACTCGAGGGAGGAGTATAATTATGTTTTAAAAAATTTATAATCATGAGATTATTTAAGGCCGCGCAATGTTCATTCCTACAGCATCGTATGTGTCCTTTTGCCACTGCTCCTCATGAAATGTACAACCTAGTCCGCATACATTGCAAAATTTTATGGACTCTATATAGTGTCTTTTCAAAGGCATAGAAGAACATGTTGTGTTCCTTACGCGGAACGCATGCATCTCACAGACTGAAATCACTAAGCGCTAGTGCGACAACTGATAAGACTCCAAATTATTCGACAATTAGAAAACTTTTTTAAAACATAATTATACTCTTCCTTCGAGCATAAAATGTAAGGATGACGTGATTCTCTATCAATCGACTGAAATAAGGCAAATTTTTGTTCGTGGTTTCTATAAAATATGCTCGAATTTGCAAGACAATCGAAAATCAGTGAGAAAAATACTTGCCTTATAAGTAGTTATTTTTTACCGAGTACGGTTTCTACAGGAGTTTGAAAAGCAATATATTCAAAAGCTGACATCCTGCCGAGTCTGAAATATTATGGCATCATACTGCAAGCTAATCAGTTTCATAACTGCGCTTAAGTAATCCTTCCTAATCGAAAACGCATTTCAGAATTTCAGCCAACATTTTATGAGATCGGTCACTCACTGTAAGTTAGTTCAGCTGTTGTTGTTGTTGCAAAAATTAGCTCCAGTGATTTGCGCAGACGCACAGTCACATGGCTTGGGATTTTGAGCACACCGAGGTGGCATTCGTCAATATATCCTGGTTTCAGAACGGAAATGACCGCTTCCAATTTGCTCTGGAGCCCGGGTTTTGAAGCTCGCACAGGCAGTAGCATGGCGAGGACCACTCAGTACCTGGGTGTCGTCACCTATCAGCTTAAATGAACCCGAACGGCAACTTATGGCTTGTTTATTTTTGTTACCCGCCATAATCCACGCCTAGACTCCGAAAGGCGGGTTACTCGTTAGCCTACGCGCTGGTTGCCCGGTTATGAAAAGTGAAATGGACCCCAGCGAAAGTTAGGGGCGAAATAATCTCGTTCTCAGGTCTGACGAAAAATCAGTTGCAGACTAGCTGCGACAGTGCTACCAGGGTGCGGAGGGCTGAGATCTGGCACGCCGACTGCCTAATAAAATGCCGCAAAGTCCGATGACAGCACTGAGACATGCGGCCGTGAACAGTAGGTAGGCTAACTCATAAAATGTCAATCGGAATTCCAAAATGCGTTTTCATTTCGAAAAGATTAATTAAGTGGGGTTGTTAAACTAGTCAGCCTGCAACATAAGTCTATAATATGTCGCTTAACTCAGGATGCCGGCTTTCGAATGAACTCCCTTTCGGCTGCATACAAAAATTACACTGTAAAAAACAATTACTTAAGTAGCATGAATTTTTCTCATTGATTTTCGATGCCCTTTTACATTCAATTATATTTCATGGAGAACATGCATAAAAATATTCATTTTTTTGTGTTTCTCATAAGCGCATGTGCTCTTGTCGCAACCGTTTCAGCTATAGGTAGGACGTAGCCACTAAGACCTTCAGACACGGTCAGGAATAGAATGAGGTGTTGTACGACATTTGACAGGATACTGTCTTTTATACGGGAAGATTGGAGAATCGGTTGGAATGAGTTGGCAGCCAGACAAGAGCACATGGATAGCGCTGAGAAAGCGGCGCCCCGAGAGACTGGAGAATGCGTCACGTCGCCTTGAGCGAGAGCATACCTGATTGGTCCTTGAAGCTGATTGGCCGCCTTGGACAATTGTGATTGGCGGAAAACCACTGGTGCGCACGCGCAAGTACTCGCGGAAGGCGCGTCGCAACTGGGGCCCGGAGAAGGGCACTCTCCCACCCATACCATAGGCAGTACGTGGCCTATTTTATTAAATGTCAAGTTGGCTAACACGTGTTTTCAGTAATTCTTCGTCAGGCCAATACAATTACATGAAGGAGTGAAAGTGTACAAAATTAACAGTGTTTATAGGTGTCTCAAGGTCAATTATGTCATTAACACTCATCTTTCCCACGCCGCCCGCATGACGAGGTCGGCGGGTTTTGGTCCTTAGGGCTGGGGGAGGGGGGTAAGAGAGTTTTTGAGTGATGCTCTTGGATTGAGTACACGGAGTACCCATCACTGTAATCAGGGATTTGAGGCGGCATGTCGTCATCACGTGAGGTTGGCGTTGGCCACGGCAGAGAGAGCGCTTGTGTCAGGGTTTTCTGACAGCATAGCACCGGATTCGTTAGCCGTATTGCCACTGCCTCGGCCGTTGCTAGTATCCGTTGGCGTAGGCCTTTAGAGAAGCTTGTTGGTGTCCGATAGACAACCTGAAATGCTTCCTTGGCATCGACTCGGTGATCCGTATCGATTAAATGTGCGAGAATAGAACTCGAAACCGATCGGGTCTCACCTCTGCCTAGCCAGGCGGGCATATGTTCACGCACCCTCTTTACCAGGCGTCTCGTTGTACGGCCGATGTATCCTGCTCCACAGGAGCAAGTGAATGAGTAGATGCACATTGATGTGGCCTCCAACGGTAGTCTGTCTTTACCTCCCAAACGTAGGAGGGGAGAGTTTGTGAAACATACGCGTAAATTCGCCGCGGGGAATGCTCTCGTGACAGCTGTAGTTAAGCGCCGTCTGATTATTTCGCTCGCTGCGTCCCCTGCAAAAGGCAGTCTTATGAATACATCTTTCTTTTCTGCAGTCGCAACAGAGGGCTTTGCAATGCGTTCCCCAATATTTCGGAGGATAAATCAATCTGGATATCCGTTCTCGCGAAGTGTGTTCTGCAGATGTTGGAGCTCTGCTTCAAAAGCTTCAGGTGAGCAGATGCGCCTCACTCTAGCTGCCAATCCCTGGACTAGATTTCGTTTGATGTTGAGGGGAACAAAACTGTGGAAATTAATGTACTGTCCCGTCCAGGTTTTCTTTCGGAACACCCTGCGCTGGATAGACCCATCCTCCTGCCTGTGTAGAAGGACATCGAGAAACGCAATTTCGTTATCTGCCTCAGACTCAGCAGTGAACTTTAGCGAGGGGTGAGCACTGTTGAACTTTTGGACAAGGTCCTCGATATCGGTGGTACCATCCGCCAGACAGAAAATATCGTCCACGTACCGACCGTAGAAGACGAGGTCATTAATGGCATCTTGTAATCTTGTCTTCTCAACTTTGCCCATAAAAACATTTGCAAG